AGCCCACCCTGGACAACCTCATCCCTGGCTCCCCCCAGTCCTGTTGCCCCCTTCATCATCACCCCCTGTGTCCTCTCAGGACCCCACTCCCTGCGCTACTTTAATGTTGCAGTGTCAGAGCCCAGCCCGGGGGTGCCCGAGTATGTGGAAGTGGGGTACGTGGACGGGAACCTCATCGTGAGCTACGACAGCGAGACGGGGAGGGCAGTGCCCCGGGCGGACTGGTTGGTGTCCAACCTGGACCAGCAGCACTGGGAGAGGGGGACCCACAATGCAAAGACCAATCAGCACCTTTTCTGTGTGAGGCTGGAGAGGCTGCATGGCCACTACAACCAGAGCAGGGGTGAGTGTGGGCTGGGCTGGGGCTCTGTGGGACAAGAGAGTTCCTCCCCCCAGGATCCTGCCCTGCCCCACGCTGCTGCCCCGGCTTGTGCCAGCCCTTCTGTACCCGGTGTCATTGTCACGGGGCTCCCAGCCACCCTGTCCCCCAGCCCGAGGGGGTCCTGGCTGCCCTGTCCCAGCCCCACACTGCTTGGGATGTCCTGTCCCAGAGCTAGGGGTGCTTCTGGCCACCCCAGCCCCGTGCATCACCAAACCCAACCCCCCCCACGTCAGAATCCCCCATCCCAGAACTGCGAGGCTTTTGGCTGCCACATCCCAGCTCCTCACCATCCCCACAGCAGTCAAGACCCTCAGAGGGGTTCCCCTCCTCAGTGTCCCAGCCCCTCACCCTCCCTGTGGTGCTCAGGACCTCCATCCCACAGCCAGAGGGGTTTCACCAGTCCCACCCCATCTCCTTGTCTCCCTCCATGTCATTTGGAGACCCCCATGCCAGCCCCTCACTGTCCCAGGGAGCTGTGGGGCTGGGTGCCAGCCCAGCCACGCTGTGGGTGCAGGGGGTCTGTGTCACAGCTTTATGTGACACCCCAAGTGCTGTGGGCCCTGGGCAGGATGGGGGGCAGCCCTGGTGCTGGTACCTGTTCCCCCCAGGGCTCACACAGGGCTGGGTTGGGGGGTGCTGCTGCTGGGGGGTCTGTGCCCCACTGATGTCCCAGGGCTGCAGCAGCCCCTCAGCCCCATCTCCCTGGTCGTGTTCCAGGGGCTCACACGGTGCAGTGGATGTACGGCTGTGACCTCCTGGAGGATGGTAGCACCAGGGGGTATTACAGAATCACAGAATCACAGAATTGTGGTGGTTGGAAGGGACCTCAGAGATCATCGAGTCCAACCACAAAAAAAAAAAAAAAACAAAAAACAAAAAAAAAAACCAAAAAAAAACAAAAAAAACCCACAAAAAAAACAAACCACCACCCACCCCCTAAA